GAGGTTTGGGAAAACCTGGGTGCAATGACTAGACAGGTGGAATGAACCTAGGGACCTCCTCACGACTGGGGTTTATGGAGATGTGTGGGAAGAAAGACCACTGAGGGAATATTGCTGCAGGTGAGGAATGACTTTTGAAGGACTCCCATCCACAAAGCCACTGTACTTGCAGGTAAGCATGGCAGCTGAGACTTTATGGTATAGAGGGTGGAAGTTACAAGACTTTTATGGGTCAGACAGATGTACCAACCCATGTGGGATCTCAGCTGGGCTAATTAGCATGGATCACAGATGACCACCACTCACCAGTGCATACTAAAGCTAGGGCCGTGGGCCTGCCAGTGAGAGTCAGAACAGGGGATAGGTAATGTTAGGCTGTATCATGACATTAACCAGCTGCAGCTGAGCCGATCTGAAGCCAGGAGTCCAGATCCTCCTCTGGATCGGCTTTGGGCCATCCTTGATGACTTTCCCAGGCCATGAGTAGGGAGCTGGATTGGTAACAGGGCCACAAGGACAAGAACCGGTGCCCGTATGGGATCCCAACACTTGTAAGGCAAGGACTCTAGCCACTAGGCTACTATGCTGGGCCCAGTTTTTTTTTTTCCTTTTTATTAATTGAAAATAATTTTTGAAAAAGCAGTGAGAATAAGCTGGGAATGATGTAATTTTGCTACTTAACAGTTCAATTAAAAATGAATCTTTCATTTTTCTTCACTTTTTCATCTTATGAAACCTTCTGCTGCTTTATTGCAACTGTAAATGTCTCCAGGGACTACAACAATAGCTAAAACATTCGGTTACCACTAGATTGGATAAAAATGGGGAAACATATAAGTCGGTAGAAAGAGGCATCTTGAAGAGAGGATGTTTAAGAGGGGAGGAAATTGTTTTAACGTTTCTCAGTGATTGGAAAGAGGAAAAAAGGTCTTGAAAATCACAGCACCAGTTTTTGGTTTTAGGATTATTTTTGTTTGATTTGCCTTCGTGTTATTCTATTTTATGTTCCAGAGGTAACATGGACTTATAACAGCTATGAATAACAGGGTGTAGCTGATAGAGTAATAAAGTCTATATATTTGATGTACACAATTTGTTAAGTTTTGATAAATATATGCACATAGATAAAATCATTACCACAACTAAAATAATTGATACATCCATTATCCTAAAACTTTTGCTTTTAATACTTAGGAATTACTCTTTCCTTCTTTCCCTGTCCCTCCCCCCAACTTGTTCTAGAACTATTGATGGGCTTTTTGTTAATGATAGATTTCTAGGGTTTATATAAATCAAGTAGTTATATATTCCTGTTTTGATTTTTTAAAAAAATTCCTCTCAGATTATTTTTATGTTCATTCATGTTGTAGTAGCATAAGTACCTTTTGAAAGATTTATTTATTTTTATATGCACATAGGCGTTAGAGAGAGAGATGAAGTGATGTTCCATTCCATTCACTTCTCGAATGGTACAATGGATACATCTGATCTAAGGCAAATTCAGGATCTAGGAGCTTCCTTCGGGTCCCCCACATGGCAACAGGATCAACTTTTTATACTCCACTGCTTTTCTAGGCTGATAACATGGTGTTACACTGGAAGTAGAGCATGTTGGACTTGAACTGACATCTATATGGGATACTGCCACTACAGGTGGAGGCTTAGCAGGCTACACCACTGTGCTAGCCCTTGACAGTTTGTAAAAGTCAAAGCTTGGTGGAATTCTGATCAGAATTTCATTGGTTTACCAAATTCAGTAACATTTTGACCTAGAGGCATAATTTATTATTCACTTACACTTATAATTCATTTCAGCAAAGTTTTTACATTTTAGTCTTTCACATATTTTACTAAGCATACTTAATAATAACAGCAATGTTTTATATAGCTTGTCTTAAATTATTTTATTTTAAAACACTTTGGATTAATACTTAATATTTTTGCATTTTATGAGATATAGTTAAATGTTTTATATTTTGAATGCTATAATAATTGAATTTTATTTCCTAAACTCAATTTGATTGTCTATTGCAGTGTGCAGAAATCTAAGTAATATTGTCTCTTGATATTATATCTTTCAAACTGGCAAGCATCACTTCTTACTTTTACTCAGTTTTTTATGGCTATCATTTTATTCCTAGAAGGCCATGTAACTTGCTATTGAATGCATTTTGATCATCTTTTTCAATAAGAACGTTTGTAACTTTTACTTTGTCCCGACTGTACTGGGCAGTTTTCCCAGTACAATGTTGGGTAGTATTTTAAGAGTAGATGTCTTTGATCCTAGAGAGAAGATGTTTGTTGCTTTTTTTGGTAAGTAGATTCTGTATGTGGAGGATGATTTTTTAGTCTTAGCTTGCTGGAAGTTGTAAACCAGAAGCAGAAGCATATCATATGCAATTACATCTCTTGCTATGTATACTTTTATCTAAACCACTCTTTGTTTTTCTTTTAAATTGATGCATAATTTGCTTAAACACATGTATTTAAAATTAATTTTCCTTTGGTCAGATGGAAATTAACATTACTTGCCATCATTGTAAGGTAGCTCTTACAGATGGAATAGGTCTTGTCTCCCCAACATTCATATAAAACACTTCAACTCTGATGTAATAGCATAACTGGTTAATGAATTAAGGGGAAGACAGAAGTGGGTGTGGCGGAAGTGTTTAGGCTATTGTGGGTGTGTACTCAGTAAAGAGGGGTCTCTCCAAAGGGTTATCTGAATTGAAGTCTGCCTCTTACTCTCTATCCCTGACTCACCACCTGTCACTGCTCCGAACCCACCCAGACTAGCCTCCAAACATGCCAGATTTGAGGGCTGCCCAATCTGGACCTACGATCTCCAAACTACAAGCTGAAATGGACCTTTTCTTTCACATAAACACTTCCTGGGTATTTTAATTAAAATAACAAAATAGACTAATCAAATCAAATAAAACCTCCAAAATACTGTTCTATCCTATGTAAACATTTTATTTGTTGAGGCAAAATTTCTGTAGTTGACACACTGTAAGTACTAAGTAAGCTAGGAGATCTTTAAAAATACACTTGTAACAGCTGAATGTTTATAATAGTAAGCACATCTTAAAATTAGAAAGGGAAATATTTTCCAGGATGATACATATTGCACCAAAAGATCATCTTAACAATTGGATGTAGATTTCACAACTAGGAAATTACTAGATGTTTAGATGCGAGAGGCTTGGGCAATGCCAATGAGGTGTGAGGAGGCTTAGTTATTATAGGTTTATAGCATCCATAGAGGTCAGGAACATTTAGACGCTAAACCTTGTCGTTAATATACATCACCTAACCAACACCTGGAAATGAAGACACAGACCAAAAGATTGTTTAGTTGAATTGGGCTAGCTTTTCTTTCAAAGTTCTTCAGGTGTTTCCCAAGCCTAAGATGTTTATATGGGGGGCTAGTTGTATTAGTGTGCATTCATTGCAATAGGACGATGCCTGCGGCTGGATATTTGATAAAGAAAAGAGATTTTTGTTCACAGTGTTAGAAGCTGTAAGTCCCGCTTGCATAGCGCTGGCTGTCCTAAGAAGCTCCTCGGATGTATCCCATCATGGAAGGAGCTGGGAGTTTGGGTGAATGAGAGTTCACCTGCAAGATAAAGCCAGATGTGGAAGCTCTGCTTTCCCTCTAGAGTCCAACCCTTAGTGGTCTTACCATTTCTTAACACAGAGGGGACTCACCTTCCCACACAAGGAGCTAGCTATATCCAACGGGATGCAGTCGTGGTTGTGGTAATGGGGATGCTTTGCAAAGAAGGGACAGTCCAAGTTCACTGGCAATGTCTGCCCTGGGTGTGAATAGGTGAAATGGTAAAACTAGCATTACTTGCCTGTTAGGACTACGCTGTGAATTCCCTATCAAGGCAGCTTAACAGAATCCTGAAATGCTGAGAGATCATTCACTCTCCCTTAACAAACTCTTGGAACTTTCTGCCTCCCTCACTCTGTGGTGTTAAAGAAGTGTGATCTCTCTGTACGATGTTAAGACAGTAAATAAAACTTGAAAGATGCACCTTATGACGTCAATTTAAACAATGATTGAAATGACTGTCCTAAATACTTTGCGATTGAATTGTGAGCAACGTCTCCAGCGGCCTGAACACCTTTGCTAGCTGAGTATGTCCAGAGAGGCATATCCTAATGCCTTTTTCCTTTAGCTGTAGTGTAATATACCATGAAACACGCCATTCAGATGGACGTGGATAAGTAAAAAGAAAGCATGAACTGTGTATCTGAAAGAGTCACTTCCTTTCATCATCTACACATTTTAATATCGTTCTAGGATCCTTTTAAAGCCAGGAATCTTTCCAGCGGTGACGCCTTGGCCTCCCACCAGGATTTTTTTTTTTCTCTTCATGTTAGTGGGACCCGAAAGAAAGGCAGAACTCAAAGTTGGTATGCTCAAACTCGCTTCAGAGCAGCATGGAACTGGGAAAGAACGACTAGTCTTGCTTAGAGAAGTGAAGAAGGAGTGAGCTTACACACACACACACACACACACACACACACACACACACACGTAGGAGACCAGTCAGGGAATGGGCATTCCAGCCCATCTGAGTCCTGAGGGTTTCTTGCCCTGGCCCCCTCCTTCTCGAGGTCCGCGTTCTCCGCCCAGGCCCTGCCCGCCCTTAACGCTTGGCCCAGAGACCCAGTGGGCGGGGTAGTCACTCCAGCTTCCCCGGGGCGATCAGAAGAGGTGCTGAGCTCAGAGGCGCTATTTGAGTGACCCAATACTTGAAGAAGATTGTTGAACACTCGAGTCTCTTCACTTCCCTGCTCTGGGACGCGACAGTCTGCAACTCCAAGCGAAGACAGAGTAAAACTGGTCCGTGCGAGTGTGGTTAAGAGCGAGCGAGTGGGACTGTGGTCTGTCCTCTCTCTTCCCCTCCATTTGGGCACGCTGACAAGACCAGCTCGTGGATAGTTCACTTTCCAGCTGCCACTCCATCGCCAGAAACTTTCCGCGTATGGAGCAGTCGCGGTTTGGCGGTAGAGATCGCCCCACTAGCGGCCGTGCCCATCTGGCTCCAGGGCTGGTGACAGCACCTGCGCCCGGATCGGAGACTTTGCCGGTAGTTCCGGGGATGCCAGTTCCTCCGACTTTCCTGCGGCCTCCCAGCCTCTTCCTGCGAGCAGCCGCTGCAGCTGCCGCGGCTGCGGCCACCACGGCAGGCGGTGGTTGTCTCGCGGCTCCGCGGCTGGAGAGAGCGGTGGGCTACCCGCGGACGCCCAAGTGCGCGCGCTGTCGCAACCACGGCGTGGTGTCTGCGCTCAAAGGTCATAAGCGCTTCTGTCGCTGGCGGGACTGCGCCTGTGCCAAGTGCACCCTGATCGCCGAGCGCCAGAGGGTCATGGCTGCCCAGGTGGCGTTGCGAAGGCAACAGACGCAAGAGGAAAAGGAGGCCCGCGGGCTGCAGAGGCTTCTATACCCTGAACCTTCGGGGCCCGAGGGTCCGGCTTCAGGAGACCGCAGCAGAACCCAGAACACCCAGGCCGCTGGGTGCCCCACCGCGGTTGCTGCGCTGGGATTGGGTGTCTTGAGACCAGTCAGTGGTTTGGCCACCCCCTCAATCGAGGTTTTCCGGGAAGATTGTTCCAAGGACAAAAAAGGTGGGTTGATCTTCCATTTGCTCTTTGCACGAGAAAATGGTTGCTCCGGAGAAAAGCTCTTGAAACTAGCAGCCCTAACTGCCTGGAGGCATGACAAAGTTACAAAAGCACTTCAGCAACTGTGTCTTTTCACCCGGAGCTGAGAAGCATCAACCATCACTTTGAAAGGTCTTGCTAATTTGCTGCACCCGGAGTGATAGGATAGGAGACAGTAAGGGGATAGTGAATCCTGGTTGGCCACAGATAAACAGTCCTTGGAAAACAATTGCATGCAACCTGCCTTGATTTTACTTGAGCAAAGGGAAGTTGAGTCAGAGTTTGTTTTGAGTTTGCTTATTACTTTTTTTTTTTTAAACTGTAAAACCAGAAAGAATCTTGGATACATCCCTGGTGGTTAGTAGTACATCTCTTTGCCTTTGAGGCAAACTTTTGGTGCCAACCAGACAAAACAAATCTACCAAATTTCCTTCTCTTTTTCTCTCTATCCTAAATCCTTATCTGTCTACCCCCTATCTGTATGCCAGTTCCCAAAACTAAGCATATTTGATGTTTCAATTCTTATTAAAAGAAAGCATTCAGGGTTTTAACTTGGAAAACTTTAGTAAGAATTTAAGTTGAATATTGCAAATTTGTTATCCAAGAAGCTTTTTCTCCCCTCTTGTTTACTAATGACATTTCAATTGCCTTACTCTCCTGTATTAGTAAATACACTCATGCATTTTTTTACTAGGACTTTTCCAAATTAGCATTTCCTGCTAATGTAAAGCCTGGTGTATGTTAGTGAACTTCACAGCCCTTCACAAGGCCCGCTAGCAGTGAAAATGTCATTTCATTGTGTTTGTGTCAATCGAACACGGTTGTATCATCTGAATTCTGTGGTAATGATACACCATAATTCATTACTTTTTGAACATTGGAAACCTTAGATTACACCATGTGCTTTTGAAAATACTTTGCTGTAAATCTATCATTTTGTGCTTGACTATACTGTGTGTGTGCATATAAAAGTTTAGTTCTGCAGAAAAAAAAAAACAGATTTTAAACATTTCTCATGAGGACTGGAGGTTGAAGTTATCAAGTATGGCTTCTGTAAAAGGAAAGTAAAAGAATTTCTTAAACTACATTGACATTGAAATCCATCTTATGACACTGATTTAAGTGATATTTGGGGAGATGTCAAAACTTTACAGGACTGTTGTATTTCTTTTTATGTTTTATCTCAGAGATCCCCTATAAAAAGCAAGCTGACTTTTGAAAGGCTACTCCCAAGACTTTCTGAATTGACTGACTTAACTGTAGTAACATAGACAATATAATTAATCCATTCATTAGACACAAATCAAAAGCAAAAGAATAAGATTTCCCTATACAAAATAAATATCCTTCTATTCAATAATTGAAGATTCTAGACACCAAAATCACAATAAAAGGCCCAATATACGATAGTAAATACAACAGAAGGAAAATAAATTACAGAATATAAGAGGTAAGAGAGATGTAAATGATCCCATGGTATTTTAAAGAAAGCTCACTTTCTAAAGCCTTTTGCAATCAATCTTTCATTACATCCATTGTAATATGAGTCTAACATAAGAAGCATACATTGCCATAGAGGTGAAATCCTGACCCGGCCCACAAACAGAAGGATACAGGTAGTAAATCACATGTAAATGAGGGAGGAAAAATGCCTCTTCCACTTGACAGATCTCAGTAGAAGTTTTATTATGTTATTTAACATTAGAAATTCTAGACAGTCTTTCTAATTTTGCAGTCATAACATCTTTGATCATATGTTTGACCCTACATGCTAAGTTGTACACACTTTAATTTCCAATTAAGCTTTATATATTCTTTAGAACTATTCCTTTAGGAAATTGAAGAAAACATGAGAATACTGCAAATCATGCTTACAAATCATCACATTAGATAGTATTTATCTTGTTTTACTTATAACAAATTTGTAGAAAAAAAGTTGGACAGAAATGCTCCATTTATTCTGCTTGAAAAACGGTTTTATTATCCAGAGATGATATATATAAGGTTATTTAGCAAATATGTATAGTTTTTAGTGTTATCCTGGAAAAATGCTTTTTTATTAATATCCTCAATATCCTGAGATAAAAACAGATTTTTTATATATGATAATTATAGAGAATTATTATTATTATTGGAGGCAAATTGTTGTTTGAATTGAAGGTTTACCGGTTGTTTTTGGAACTGTAAAATTTGCAATACTGTGCTTTATATTTTCTTTTAGAAACAATTTGACATTGAACTATTTTCTTGATACTTTCTGGGTATTAAAGAAGCATGTACATAATTCACACAGAAATGCAAAAAATACCAAGATTCCGTTAACTGTCACACAAAGTGAAATCTGCAAGTCTGGTGTGATTTGAGATTGAAGCACTAAAAACCAAAATTTGTTTAAATTTGAAATTTGAAATAAAATGAACAATTTTCTTCTTTTTCTAACACTATTCAGGTAACTTAATTTGAACCTGAAATGTAAATATAAGAAAACTAGTTGTTGAAATTCAAAATTAATAATTACATAAAATATTCATTTTCAGATAGATCCTTTTTAAAAAATTTCTTCTCTAGACCTTTATACAGGAGAAAAAAGAAACTTACCTGGGTAAGAAAACTTGGTTAACCTTCAGGAAAATGTCCTCTTTGCCAACATGGGGCAAACCAAGAGTGGTGACAGTGTTCAGAGACACTTCTGGGTTACAATGCACTCGTCTTCTTACTTCTAAATAGTTCTGGGTTATATACTTTAAATTTGTAATCCTGAATGACAAAAGAAATAATACTATTCCACTTAGATTATTATGAATAATCTCTTAAACCCAAGATTTTTTATTAAGGGATTTAAAAATAAAAATAATGTATCATGAATGAATGAATCATTTTTATGCAGTTTTTAAAAATACAGACAGCATTTTGTTCTTGGAGATTTTTATTCTATTTGACATATATATTTTTTTTTCTTTTTCAGAACGAAAGGAAAGTATATGTGACTCATGCCAGAGACAAGAAGAACAACTCTCCAAATCCCATCAACCCTCCTTGGGGTCATCTCAAGATGTCAGTGGGAAACAAGCCATCAGCTGTTCCATTTCAGAACATGCAAACAGACAGGACAGCATCCTCTCAGTTCACTTTGGAGACCAGTCAGGAGGTGAAGAAAGCCCTAGGTCCTTGTCATCTTCTGATCTGGAATCAGGAAATGAAAGTGAGTGGGTGAAAGACTTTACAGTGACCAGAACCAGCCTTCCCACAGTGTCCTCAAGACCAAGAGACCCTCTTGACATTCTTACTAAGATTTTTCCAAGTTACAAACATAGCTGGCTAGAAGGCATTCTACGCTTCTGCAAAGGAGATGTTGTCCAAGCCATTGAACAGGTCTTAAATGGCAAAGGACACAAGTCCAACACTAGAGGCTTAGTGAGCACGGAACTGGAAAGCCCACGCCACCACAGCACACCTAATTTTAGTCTAGCTGGAATTCGTTTTGGAACTCTAGGTACTAAATCAGCCTTCTCTCCTCTTCAAACCACTTCTGCTTGTTATCAAGCTGATTCAGAGCTCTACAGCTTAAATCCCAGACTAGGTATTAGCCCACTAAGGCTGGCGTATTCTAATCCAGCAAGAGGCTTGTCTGGTTTCATGTCACCTTACCTAACACCTGGGTTAGTACCAACACTACCTTATCGGCCAGTTTTGGATTATACATTTTCAGGGGTGGTTAGGGATTCTTCCTTCACTTCCTGTAAAGACTCAGTTCCTGCTGGTAGAGTTTATTCCCAACCAAATCAGGACAGTCTGTAATGTATTGTCCCAGGATTTCTGGAGAGTTTTTAGGAGAATTCAATGCATGTATATGCATATATGTGCATATATATACTGCAATATCTACACTAATGGTTTATGTCTAAATCATTATCAAACCTTGAAATGCTTTTTTTCCTCCTCTTGCGAGCAAAATAATGGACTTTAGAGCTGAAGGCTCTTCTTTCTCACATGAGAAAGAAGGTTTTGGATATTATAAGTGCCTTGAATAAAGCTATTTCACAAATATTTTAATTTTAATAAATTTTCTTCCTAAACTGCCATTTGTAAAATTCCCATCTGAAAAAAATACGCTTACTCTTGTTTTGTTGAAATGTGAGGTTGCTAGTTGTGAAATGGATCGTTGTGCCAAACGATCCTGAGTAAGATACATGGAACCAAGAGGAAGAATTGAAAGTTGAGATGATTCCAACTAATTGTTATCTTAAAGTTCAAACTATTTTTAAAAGCATATTATTTGAAGATAATAGAAGTAGGCAAACTTGTTTATTTTTTTCTGATTCTTAAAAAAATTCTCTAATCTATAATTTGTGGAAACAAATGACACTGGGACAATTCTTCAGCATTGTGTGTTAAACCGATTTTAGGAAATGAGACTGCGCCATCTTCTGTCTCCTATCGCTAACTGCAGGTTAGTACTGCAGCATATGAACTAGGGTGTTTCCCAATAGGCTACGGGCCCAGTATTTAAAATAATCCTTTTGAATCTTGCTCCATGAACATTTTCATAACATAAAGTGTGCATCTGCTGTGGATGGAACATTTAGTCATTGCTTGTACATCTGTCTGTGTGTTTCGACAACACCACAGTTATTCTGAAAAGGAATAGTAATTTCATTTAGAGATCTAAAACAGCTGCATAGGTAACACCAATCGGTTCTAATAAATATTGATTAATGAATTAAGAGATATAAATTATAATTTAAAATCTGAATTTTTTCTTGAGATTTAAAAATCACTTTTTTTTTCCCCTCCAACTGGATCATGTAAAGTTGTTACACTCCAGGGAAAGTTCCATTTACAAAATAGTCTTCCCAAGTTTCCCTTAAGCATCATCATTCCTAAAGGACAGTAGCTTCATTGTTACTGCTGGAAATAAATGGAATTTTTGGCTGAAATAAAAGGTAATTGGTTTCAACACTAAAAGCAGCATGATTTACTGAAAATTTTATTATGTTTACATAAATGTGTGTGTATAGACAAGCACACACATCTGAATCCTATCACTGCTTTTACCATTAGATTTTTAAAGTGAATAAAATATATTTCTCTACCTTATTTTATTAACCAATGTAAATATCATATTAAACAAAAGCAGATTGTTTGATGCTGAGCTAAGATGTCATATGCTTAGTAGATTATGCCTTCATTTTAATGGTGTGTGAGGCACAATAGTCTGTAAAATGTTAATGCAGTCAGTATTCAGACATTATACAAATACTTTTACAATTTTAAGCCTACATAATGGTATACTGTCTATAAAGTCATTGATATTTAATGAGTATATTCATCCAGTGAGTGAAGAAACCATTTTGGATAATAGGTGTCTTTAAGACTCTGATAAAGCCAAATAATTCTATAAACTTGTCTACAGGCACATTATTTTACTGAAATCGTCATGAGATTTTTGCATCTTCTAAATGCTAACCAAGTCAGAATTGGTGATTCTGCTTTTTTCCCCGTTGCACAAATCCATTTGTTGAGTGCTGTTATTTTGAAAAAGTTCGATCTTATAGAGGATGCCAGATGTAAAATCTTATGCTTTGAAGGAAGCCATGCTAAAAAGAGATGAGTCATAAAAGTAAAACTATATTAGAGATGCTCGATTTTTTTATGTGACTCATACAATATATCTATATATCTGAAAAACTAAATCACTTTTTAAATTTGTCGGAATACCCATCTTGGGTAGTATTCAAATTTAAGAATGATCTTATAATCTTAAGATTTAACTTACATGGGGGCAGTGTCATGGCTCAGTAGGCTAATCCTCCACTTCCGAATGCCAGCATCACAGTGGACACCACTTCCTGTCCTGTCTGCTCCACTTTCTATCCAGCTTTCTGCTTGTGACCTGGGAGGGCAGCAAAAGATGGCCCAAGTCCTTGGGACCCTGTACCCATGAGGAAAACTCAGACGAATTTCCTGGCTCCTGATTCATGTTTTGGGTAGACTCAGTTCCAGGTGTGGTGGCCAACTGGAGAGTGAACCAGCAGATCCCGGATCTTACTCTGCCTCCATTTCCTTGTTTAAATCTTCCTTTTCAAATAAGAGAACATAACTCATTTTTAAAAGGTTTAATTTACATAATACTTTACATATTCCAAATCCTTTGTACAATTGTAGAATTTAGATAATTTCAAATGGCTTATTTGTCCAACCATGGACTTATATGTGAGGAAATTGACACTTGAGAGTACTGTACAGACCTAACATGAATATTATGAATTATTGGGAGTAGAAATACTTAGCTCAACCATTTCAAACTTCAAGATCTTATTCCTTCACAGTTTTATACAGCGTGTGCTACATAGCAGGTGTTCAAATCATAGTTTCTCCTGACTTAATTAAATGAAAGTGAAAAGAAAAATGTTGATTTAAGAATTTGTGCAACACTCATTATTAGAGCCTCTATTGTGTGCCATTCACCATCCTGGGGACAAGGAAGAGTAACTAACACACAGAATCTCCTCAGGATTTTCAAAGTCTGTTTTGACCACCTGTGCAAATAAAACCAATCAACTAATATTGATTCTATTTAACAGTGTTGGTACATCAGTTAAGTTACTTGAAATCTGAAAAGCATGAATGTAGATGGTACAGAAGGTATGGATTCTTAATCCAATGATTATGCGTAAGTATTTTAAAGGCTAGCATATTTGCTATAGATGTGTAGCTCTGGTGAAAATAATGCCTTAAACAAAACAAAACAACAACAACAACAAAAACCCCCTTAACTCTCCAAGAGTGAAATAGGTGAAAAAGGTTATTTTGCCACGATACATCTTCTAACTGGTTCAAGGTAGAAAATATGACTTAAATCCACTATTTTTGGGATTTTCACAGCTGTTTCAGTGTTAGTACTTGAGTCTTTTTATTGGAAACATGATAATTTATTACACATGAATGAGCATATTTCAATCCTAAGATCATTGATATAAAAACATTAGCCCTGTATTTGTCAATAAAAGAGTAGTTTTTTAAAAAAATATATTTATTTTTACTGGAAAGTCAGATATACAGGAGGAGGCGAGACAGAGACCAACCAAGATCTTCCATCCGATGATTCACTCCCCAAGTGACCACAACAGCTGGAGCTGAGCCAATCTGAAGCCAGGAGCCAGGAGCTCTTCTGGATCTCCCATGCAGGAGCAGGGTTCCAAGGTTTTGGGCTGTCCTCCAATGCTTTCCTAGGTCACAAGCAGGGAGCTGGATGGGGAGCAGGGCTGTTGGGATTAAAATCAGTGCCCATATGGGATCCCGGCACTTTCCAGGTGAGAACTGTAGCCACTAGGCCACAGTGCTAGGCCCCCATAGTGAAGTTTTTTCAAAACTTATCAATTAGCTTCCTAACTAAACTAGGAGAATTTAAAAGGCAAGACCCATAACATAATTAATGATTTGCAAAAGATTTAGACTTGCGAAGGCTAGTGTGAGGTTCTTAGGCATAAGAACACAGATGACCTTAAACAGGACATGGAAGAGAGCTGAAGTTACACTTTAATACATTTTCTGCAAAGAACACAGCAGTGTGTCTGCCTCAAAAATGCACTGGCTTTGGAGTTGGAATTTAGGATGGACCTACAGCTGTGTAACTGGAAGGGTTACTTACACTCCCTGGGGACACATTTTTTCCCAATAAAACAAGAATATCAACATTTAAAATGCTTGCATTTTCACAGAGATGAAAGTTTATATAATCAGCAGAGAACAGTAATACTTACATGCTAGTCCTAAATAAGTACATCTCACTGCTATTACTCTTGAAATAAAAGCTAGGTTTATTTTGGTGTCAAAAAAGTTTCAAAGCCATGCATATTCCTTTCATACTTTACATTTTCACCAACATTTTGGTGAACAACAAACCATAGATTAATGGTAGTCCCCAGAAATTATACCTGCTAGAAACACCATAGCCATCTTTGCAGAATGTACTTCTTGATGTTCACATGGTGACAAATTGCCTGACAACGTAGCTCTCAGCACATATCCCCACACTGTGAAGTGATGTGTGGCTGTGCTGGTTCCAAATGCAGCTGCTTTCTGATGGGACCATTCCAGGTAGCCGGGTCTGTGCTATTACTTTATATGAAGACACTCCTGGCAGCAGTCTCTCAGTATGGATTATGATAATTTCCTCAATCTGCTTCTTGATTGTGGAATCCAACAGGTACTTCTTACCAAAGTATCATACAGCTTGGGTCCCAGACTTCTTGTTTGGTCATCTCCACATTTCATAAGTGGGCTACACTTTTATAATATATTCCTGTATATGTTACTTTGATGTTTTTAAGGACTATGTGAGGAAAATGAGTGACAAAACTGTTTTCATGTAACGTTCATCATTACAATTCAGTAAAGAAAACAGAGTTATTATTAGTTTGAAAAGGGATTGAAGATTAAACCTAACACAAACAAGCAGCTGAAAAGTAAAGTTCGGAATTGGCAACATGTCTGGAATGACCTGAATAGGCAGATCAAAGAGAGTTCACTAACCTATCTATTGAAAGCACTAGTGTCAATGAGCAAGTGGAAACTTGCAGAACATCTGAAATCTGGCACGCCCAGGTACACACTTGGTTTCTGGGTGGTGGAGGATACGCTGAGAAGCGGGTGGAACTTACCGATATCAACCTTGTTGAACTTTCTTCCATTTCTTTCCAATCTTACTATGATTCCTTTTCTGGCCAATTCCCACCCTGGATGATGCAGGAAAGGGGGTTTTGAAAACACATTGTTTCAATCTCAGCCAGCTGACT